TGCCTCCTATGTCTATAAGATCCTCATCTTTCCCCACTCTCTACCCTCCCATTCCATACCCTATAACCCAGCCATAAAAAACTGCTTGCATTTCCCCAGAGACACTATGCATGTTATTTCTCCAGGACTTTGCATAAATAGTTCTCACTGCTTAGAGTGCCCTTCCCCACAAAACCCTTACACATTCTTCGAGTCCCAACTTCAGTGTCCCTCTCCTGTCTGAAGCTTCCTTCCTCTAGATACTCCCTCCTCAACCTCTCAAAGCACTTTGTTTTGAAGTCTTCAACGCAAGCTATTATATTAGTCTTCCTAGCCGGCCTGTGTGCACTTTCAGAACAAAGATTGGGCTTTATTCCATTCTGCATATTTCCAGGCCTAGAACAAGATTTTGCTTAGTTGAATGAGCAATTGAATAAATGTTCTATATCTGCACTGTCCAATATGGTAGCCATGAGCCACATGTGGCTATTGAGCCTTTGAAATGTAGCTGGTTCAAATTATGTACTATAAGTGTAAAAAGCACACTGGATTTCAAAGACTTAGTTTGGGAAAAAAATATATTTTTGATAATTTTTTATATTGATTAAATATTTGAACATTTTGCATAATTGGGTTAAATTAAATATATTAGTAAAATTAATCTCACCTGTTTCTTTTTACTTTTAAAAACGTGGACAGTAAAAAAATTTAAGTTATATATGTGCTGGTCTCCTCGCCTCCTAATTGCTGCTCTTGTTCTAAACCATTCTCCACATAGCAATCAGAATCATTCTTTAAAATGTCAATCGAATCACAAACAGTTGAGTCTCATTATTAGTGGTTACGGTTTATAAATTTGCCACAAACACTGAATTAGCGAATACTGAACCAAATGCTCTTTGGGAAATACAGGGTAAGGTTCCTGCCAGCCTCTGGTCATACTTGCATCAACCTATACATAACCATGTTTTATGAGGGTTTCTATTTAAAGACACCTGTTTAATATATATTACTGTCTCAGTAACATTGAACTCAATATAACGCATGCCTACACAAAGCGTATTTAACACACACATTTTCTCTGTAAGCCTTCTTGCACGTAGGAACACCAATTAACACTTCAGTACTATGCTTGGGAGCCATTTTAAGCAGCAAAATCACCAACCAAAAAGCCTGAGAAAAATCGCTAAACATACACAAAAAAGACATTTGCTTCAAGTATTAGAGCTTAAAAACTAAGTTATAGTGTTGCCTTACTAATCTCAGCCTGGACCCTACACATGAGGTGACAAAAATCATTCCCAGTCTGTGCATGTCTATAGAACGTACAGTGCCTAAAATCAAATGCAGCCAGAGGAAGCTTCCTCTGATGGATGCCCGGGTGCTGGCATCGACAGAAAGAAGAATTAATAGGGTCCTTCCTCTGTCCTCCAGTCACTCCCTCACTCACTAAAGAGGCCCTTGGCCCTCCCACGTGCTTCCTGCGGGCGAAGCACCTGCGTTAGTCCTGACGTCACGAGGGCTTGGCACGTGCAGCCCCAGCCCCGCCCCCGAGCTGACCTCATGGCTCCGCCCCTCCCCGTGACGCCACAAGCCTCGGCCGTGTTCCCAAGCCTACCTGGCTCCTTCTGACAGACGCGCGAAGACGAGCTGCAGAGGTGGCCGTCCCGGCTGCTGCGACTGCTGCAGAAACGGTGAGTTGCCTCGGAAACGGTGGTCACCTCCGCCATTCGAGTCGTTTTCCTGGATACCCCCGGTGTACACTCGCGCCCCTCGGGGAGAAGGGATGACCTCGGACCGCAGAACTCCCTCCCCGCTCGCGGCCCTCGCGCGCTGCGTGTTGGGCACTGTAGTCCTCATAGTCCGCAGATTGCGTCTCCGGCGCACGAACGGACTACATTTCCCAGTGGCCTTTGGGCTGGGGGGGCGGTGTGCGCGTAAGCCCCGAGGGGCAGAGGGTCTGGTCATCGGAGTACCTGGTCCCCGGCTGGTCTCGGCGTTAGCTCGGCCTCAGGCGCCCTGCCTCTGGAGGTAAAGGGACCCCGGGGGCGGCGCAGCGGGTCCGTCGCGTGCTCTCTGGACGCTGATGCGGTCCAGAGCGGCCTTCGTGGTTTTGACGTTGAACAGTTGCTGGGTTGGCCGGCCACCCGTGGGGCTGCAGTAACTGCTTAGCAAGGCTCGGTGCCTCAGGGGCTGCCGGCCTGCTCCTCGGGATCCCGGTAATAACAGCTCCCACATCTTCTGTGGGGAAGGTTGGGAAAATACTATGTCCAGTTTTACGCGGAGCTGTTTTCTGAAGGAAAGGGGATTGGAAGGTGGGTCCCAGCGACAAAGAAGCCCGTGCTAAGCTCCATGGTGACCTTGGCAGGCCCGAGAGGCCCCTGCGCGGCACTCCCTCCCCGCCAGTCCTAGCTCGCCACATCAGTAAATCCGTGCGCCAGCTCTTGGACGCACGCGCCAGGGCCAGGTGGGGAGGCAGTGACCTGGCCTGGCTTAGGGCCCATTCTCCTGCCATCCAGGACCTTCGTGTAGTTGAACTCACGGTGTCATGTGAGCCCAGTTTTGGGTACTTGACTTGTTTATAGGGGTGTGTTTCTGTTTTCCTTTAAATGTTCCCAGAAGGCCTCTCAACAGGTGTCAGGTAAGGAGCAGGGATCAGTAAGTTTCTCCAAGTGTGGGCCTAAGATCCTCTGCATCAGAATCACCGGGGCCCTTGTTAAAAGAGCCAGTTCGTGGGGCCTACTCCTAGGGATCTCAATTCAGCAGTTATGGGATGTTAGAGAGTGCAGGACTCTCTGTTTAATAAGTTCCCCAGATAATACTCAAACACACTTGGGGTTGAGAACCTCAGGCCTAGTGTGAGGAGAATGGAGAACCTCGGGCATAGCATTTATACCAATTTTGCATGTATTCTGGGGCCTGCTGCTTGGCAAGGCAGTGCCTAGGCAATGTGTATTGGCACATTGTTTCTTCCCTGAGAACTGATCTAAGGATTGGGAAAGGCATGCCAGCTCTGCCTTTCCCTCTGCCCCAATATTTAATTATGAAAAATTTCAGTCACACAGAAAAGTTGAAGAAATTTTGCAGTGAATACCCATAGAATACCACCTAGAGTGTACATTTTACTATATTTTATCGTAAATCTATCCAGTAGTCCATCTTATTTTTTGTTTATGTGTGTCAGAGTCAGTTGCAAATATCAGTCTAGTTTCTTCCCAAGTAGTTAATCATGCATATAATTAAATATAGCCTTAGAATTCTTCTTGCTTATTATTTAAGTAACATAAGCTCTGGGTATTTGAAAGCCTACCTGTCCCCCATCCCTGAAGAGCTGCAGGTTTTTCTGTAGGATGGGTCTGCGGAACCAGGAAAGAGCTTTACATGGGCTCTTAACAAAGATTTGAAAACAGCAGGCCATGGTTCTAGAATCACCCGAAGAGCAGAAAAATGGAATGTGTGGCATAGAATAATACTTCAAGGACGAAATTGTTTTGAAGGAGAGCTCATGGAGTGTGCCCTGATGGCCAGGTTGTCCCATCAGATCACATTGGCAGTAATTGATTTACCATCAGCTTGCCCACTTCGAAGCTGCTGGTTTGGTAAGTTTTCTAAAGCTCTAGGGGAACATAGCCCAGTTGAAAGCTTTGGGTTCTTTGGGCCCAGGTATTTTGTTCCATAGCACAGACACCAACCTCTAATCTTCTTCAGTTGTCTGAGAGGGAGAGAAGAGACAGTCCTGTGAAAATTCATCTCTACTTTCAGAAACATTTTTACTCATAGAGCACACAGGGACGTCTGGCAGTTAAAGTTATGGCATCTTATATTGATGTTTCTGTCCTTACATGGAGGAAGGCAGTTGTGCTGGTGAGAAGGCACCATGCAGTGAGAGCTCTCGCAGAAAATGTTGGTCCTTAGGCAATGGCGGCGTGAGGTTTATTGTGCCTCCACGAGGGGACTTGGAAATAGAGTGCACAGAATGGAAATATGCCGATTTCCAGGACCCCACAAAGGGCTTCTGTTTCCTCATCTCTGCAGTCAGAATTCTACCAGATTCTCCCTGAGAAGTAGTAGAGGCCACATTGCAATTTAGTGCTGTAGAGGAGAGGGGTCACTGAGCTGGGGCCTGGGGCAAAGCCTCTCTTCCTGAGAGAGCCACCCACCCAGGGATACGCAGGTCTGGTCACCCCCGAGCCAGCAGACCCACCACCTCTTCTGCTCTGTGAGTCAGCAGGCTCTGGTGATAATGGTGGGGTCCTGGAACCAGAACTGCCGGGACTTGGCAGACCATACTGGAGGCCTTCTGTTCCTTCCAAGCTGTGCGACAGACATTTGCCCTCCCAGAGGCTCATTTGCTATGTCTGTGATAGGTGAAAAGCAACACCCAGCCAAATGAAGACTGTATCCCCTCTAAGTGCTGAAAAGATTAGGGTCCCCTAATGTTAGATAAAGTACAAAACCATGCAATGCAGGATAAAGAAGTCCAATGACATTCTGATTCTTTCCATGAAAGCAGTTATGATGTTGTCATAGACAAGGGAAGCGGCTATTGAAGTAACACCTTTTAACTTACTTGTGTCTTTCCACAATGCCAGGTTTATTGAGTGGAACTTCAGATAACCCAGTCAGGTACCCACGCAGATTAACGCATGACACCCAGAGGGGAAGTACAGAGTCTTATATGATAGAGCGAAGAGATGAAAGTCCTTAGCATCTCCAAAGCGAGCTTTGTTGACTGGTGGCGTGGAGCACAACTGTCCATGATGCTCTTGGATTAGGCTTGAGCGTCATCTATCTGAGGTGTTCAGCTTACAAGGGTGGGATGCTTATGCTTATCGGCCTTTGCAGCTGGGGGCTTATCTGGGGCAATCGTGGCTAGTGTTTCTGTAGTTTTGAGTGTTCCAGTTACACCCTAAGGGCTTTCTCATTATGTGATAGTTGACATTCCTGCCATGGCTCCCATGGAATTCATTTTGTAAAGTCCAAAAAGTCCTTATGCTCTATACAGATGTTTTTGTAATGTTGGATAATTTTTTCAGAAGACATTTCTTGTCACCTTTTTCAGTGCTCCTGTAGGTGCTGTGAGTCCCTACATGGTCTGTCTACTGGGTGATCCAGCACCATTTATTTTTACCAGAGGGAGGTGTCATGAGGGTCCAGCAAAAACCAAATGTGCTAGATACATATTGTGTTCGATAAGTATCGATTCAGTCTGAACTTAGGGGGACCCAGATGCTGTAGGGTCCGCACCTCCAGTGTCTGCGTCTTTCTTTCAAGGAAAATGATAGAGAAGCATGGAAGGGTTTCCCTGGTGGGGTGGGGGTGGGGGGCTCTGAGGAGAGTCCTAACTGCTTATTAATTCAGGAAGTGAAGTGGTTGTCTTAGTTCTAATTAACATAAAGAGCAGTAGCCTTCCAAGTTGGGGAAACAGCAGAGAATGAAATTTCTTATGCAGTGTGTGCCCTTTGTGTGTGCTTTGTACCCACCTGGCAGCACTCTCTCCTGGGTTCTGTCATCACAGAGCCCTGGGAGGTAGCACAGGCATGCAGCAGCCAGAGCTACTAAGTGACTTGCCCAAGGCTGCCAAATAATGGAGAGCAGGGCTCCAGGCCCAGCTCTCCTGAAACAGCAGGAGCTGAGGGAAATGTGGGCTCTCCCAGCCCTGTTGCGAAAACTCTATGGAGTTGATCGTGACTCAAGAAAGGAGTTGGAAAAGTACTGTCTGGATTTTTGGCCATGAACACAGGCACTTTCATCAAGAAGTATGGACTATATTTCAGCTGAGGCTGTGTTCTGGCCCAATGGCTGTGTGGGGTGGGCATTCGGGTTAGGAATAGCATAGGAAGCCTAGTTAATTTAACCTCAAGCCTCATGGACTCTCTTTTATTCAACAGACCTGTGCCTGGTGCTGAGCAGGGCCCCAGGGATACAAGTAGGAAAGTCCCAGTGTTTTCTAGTGGGTGAGAAGAATGAGGGACAAAACATTCCTTGGCGGGGAATTACAGGAAAGGCTCAGGTTTGCTGGAAAGGAGGTGGGAGAGTGTTTGGAAATGGAGGGAAGGATCTGTGGAGAGGTCCATTGGTGGAGGTATGGCTAGGTTTGGTTTGTCTGGAGAGGGGAGCGTTACAGTCTGGGGTAGCTAAAGTATAGTGTGGTAGATCTGGAACACAGGGCCAAGTTCAAACTTTTCTCCTTATACCTGACCAGTAGATGAGATAGTGGATCTGAGGGCTTTTTGAGCCATGGCATTAATAGTACTTGCTGACAAGGTCAAGATTTAAGGTACAGAGAAAAGTCCGGAAGGCCTCTCAGACATCCATCTTAGTGACTGGGCTACTGATCACTGAAACACGGCCCACAAGATGGAAGAGAGCTCCTGCCTAGGAGTAGCAGCCAGATTGTGTTCCCCATGATGTGCTACCCGGGGCTGTAGAGAGACTGGTCCCAAATACCGACCCTGCCCTCCAGGAGCTGCCGGTCTGCCTGGGGAGGCCGGGCCCTTGACCACAACTGTCTGTCTCCCCTCTGCTCTTAGTGGCTCTGTTGGCCCAGACATGGAACCCCTCCCTGCCTGCCTCCCTGCAGAGCCTAAGTAGGGCCCACCCAGGCCCTGAGACCTCTCTAGTGCCCTACACTCAGACTGGCTTCTCTCACCTGGATTACCTGCCGTTGTGGATTCTCACTTGGGTTTTGCTGAGTATCTCTTTTAAATTCTTCTCAAGAGTGAGCTGGCTTCCCAG